TCATGAAAGACACATTGTATCTGTGTGTATGTCATATTCTTTAAGTAATTACTCAATATTGAGTATATGTTAGTATTTGTAACACGTGTTTATGAGTATGAAAAGCGGTTCGATAGCGTCGGGTTATCATAAAATACATCGTGATTTATAAGTTCATAACACTAATAAGACTTTAATTGTTTGAATTAAAATAGGATTATCTTTTAAATACATTATAGTAGAACTCTAATCCATTTTCATTTTGGGTGTGGGTATTGTTGGAGACAATACCAACACCCTCCACATCCGATCAAGTCCACAAAGAATACCCAACTAAACCAAAAGCAGACTAGTATTCAGAACATTTCATGCATTATCAATATGATTTTTTAGAACATCCTTTTATATGAATGACAGGAAAATGGATTCTAGGCTGAACAAGTACTTTTCGAAGAGAACCTTCTAGCTGCTATTTGCCCTTCAGCAAAACTCAAATCGATTCAGAAAAAAGTACTCTGGAAGTTTTTTTAATGTTTTATCAGATGATTCCACAAATACGAAATGTTGAGCTTTTTTTAGTATCGAATTCAACCAGAGACAATGGAAGTGAGCAGAAATATGAAGTAAATACTATGATTATCATTCTTTGCGGACTACCCATCTATTCAAAATATACTTTTTGAAAAAAATATTTTCATTTTAATGTTAAAAGTGAATCGTCTTTTTTTCACTATGTTCTGTTGTTGTCTTGTGTATCATAATATAGAAGCTTTAAGCGTAATCTTTGCGAGATTAAAACGAGAAACACCATAGTGATATTATTCGCACCTTCAAGAAGAGAACTGCTGAAGTGATCGTAACAGTCTATGACAGGAAAGAGTGGTGAATCCAAATTCCTACTAATATGTTTCAATTGAGAGGGAAACAGCAAACTTCAGCAAGACTTCAGGACTTCATTGGACTTCAAAATCGAAGTCTTTGTTGTTTTCCCATCAATTTCAGTAAAACGATGACAGTGACATTAGAAACACATTTTAAAACAATATATTAGCCGCTACACACATTTTTATCATATATTACCTCGTGTAAACACTTGATTTCGTCTTTGAATGTTTTGTGGTCGCCAATAAATTTGCTCTGACAAATAAATAATATTGAGTCAATGTTTTCTTTATCACGAACTCTCAATATAGTGATAGTATGCATCTTGAACAAGAATCAAACAGTTTTAAGTGTTATTTTAATTAGAAGTACCAGGAGACGATTGAAGACGATCATCTTGGAGAGCAAAGTATGACGCTTTTTAATTGTGCATGAAAAAATAAGCTGTGTATGTCTCTTACATATGCTGTCTTTTTTAGTTACTTTGTGATTTTTCTTATCTATATATTGGAATTTTTCTCATAAATTGTTATGTGAGTTATTTTCAAAATTGCGCGACTCTCATGTTTATTTAAGCTTTTTTCTTTCAAGTTTTTGCTTTACAGGCTATGCACTGAAGTTAAAAACCGAAATAAAACTAGTATACCCATAATATATCACTTGCTAATGGTCACTGCTCAGTTCTAATAATAGTCAATATGTACGAAAGATTTCAAAGAATTTTATTCGAAATCATAAAAACTAGTTTCATAGTGATGGAGATCTTTTCAGTTTTCTTCGAACTTATTAGTTACTTAAATCTATAGATTTGGATAGATGGACAGATAGATTCACTGAACAAGTTAGAACGAAACTGTACAATAAAACTGAAATATTAGACCACATTGTCGTCATTACTTTAATCAACATTATGTAATTATTTACTTATTATAATCATTGTTTATTATCTTTCAATTGAAGTAAACAAAATCGCTATATTGAGACTCTTTTTTAGAATAAATATTTTCTAACGATGAAGAGAGACTGTCGAACAAATTTTATTTCAAAGAAGTGTCAGTACCAAGTTTACTATACAATTAACATATTTGCTTAATTCATTTGATCATGAACATAATTAAGTGGGTTTCATCCCTATAGGAGGGACTGACTTTTCAACATAAAAGAAAAATTTTGAAAAATTTCAAAGAAAAATGACTAGGTCATTTTTAAGAATAAATATTTGAAATATTGAAGAGTATCCTAATTATTGAAATGCAATATGTGACGATATATATTCCAATCCTCCATATTCAAAATCAATTTAGACAAAGAACAACTATTTATACAAATATGCAACAAGCAGAAAAGAACGATCCTGAATATATTTGAACAAGAGAAAAAAAGAAAGGAATCTATATAAAAAAAAACTGTACGAAAGGAATACACATGATTTATGCAAGAAAGAATGTTCTATTCTCTAAAACCATCGATAGTTTCTGCTCCTATATCATATCTATCACTGCATATAAAACTTTCCAGCTATCTTTGCTTCTTTCTTTTACTTGACACTGGTGTGATATTCCATCTCTGGAATCATTTTGTGTGTTTACGACAATGCTCTTCCTTTTTACAGATTAGCCATATATGTACATGATGTTTTTACAGTGAATTTTACTGTTTTGGATTTCCTGTTTTATTGCAATTTTCCTTTCACTAAGAAATTAGAGTGCGCTAGTTTTGAAATAAAGTATGTGAGACAGATTCGCATAGAAGAAAAAACAAAAGAAATGAGGAGCAACACTAATCCGTGGACAGCTTTTTCAGTCGTATCAAAATAGTATCACGCGACGATACTCACACCCACTTAACAGGTGAATACGAAGCATTTAATATATATATATATATGTCTCATTCTAATGGAATCGGATGAAAAATTTATATTGACAGAAAAAATTAATAATCGAATACCGATCAAAATAGATATGTCAATATAAAGATGATTTCGAAACTTGTTTCATTAAAACCGATTTGAACAAAGGTGAAAAGTTAATGATAATGAATTTATCTTACACTTTCAGACAAATTCCCATTTGATTTGATTAATATTTCAATACTTGACTTAGATCGAAATGTGCAATTCATCAATTGTTCACACATAACGAACGATCATTCAATATCGGGTATATGCTTAATAAGATGTCCCAAAAAAACATATATATATTTGAGGCAAATAAAACGTTGATGAATACTAATAGGAGAATCATTGCTGTCAATATCGAGTCGAACAAATGTTAATTGACATTTATCAGAAAAAATATAACATGTTATCTATTTAAACATAATTACTGAATTTCTTAATTTATTTCAATGAAAAAAACAATAATAAATAGAATCCCATCATTAATTTAATAAATCTAATAATTTTTTCTCAACGTCCAATAAATCGTATTTGTCATTTAAAAAGTTTTTAGACAATTTATTTTTTTTCAACTAATTTATTATTATTTTATTCAGGCACCTAAAATTTATTTAAGATATTGTCGATTTCATCTTACCAGAGAATCTCATTGGATACCTGCTTTCCATTTTCAACGAAGTTTTTGCCTATAGATATAACAATGATAAAGATTTGGCACAGCTATCTAATTTTTCATGTCTAATTCCCAGAGATCTTTGTAGAATCCCAGACTTTCGAAACAATCGTATTTTCGAGTACTGTCTTGAATAAAGACATTCAGGATTCTTGGAGTTCGCATCTCCAAGATACAAACCATTCAAAATGTTCATAACTCAGAGATATGAAATTTAAAACTTCTGAAATTCTTTATTCAAGGTAGCTTATGTGAGGCGTTTAAGTGAAGACAGTTCCAAGACAAAATTAAAAAAATATGACTTTTCTGGAAAGTTGCCATCATGCAGTGGTACTTAGAAAATAGATATTTTGAGTATCGGTGTAATTGAAAAAAGATCACATTTACACCTCACATACCAAGAGAATAAAAACAAAAAAAGTTAAGCAACATTTTGTCAATGTCTAAATGCCTTTATATTGATTAATCGTTTTCCAGTCAGTTCAATAATTGAAACAAGTACTAGCAACAAAACATGATCGAATTTATAAATAGATAAAACATCAAAATAACTGTTACAAAGATCATTCGCACGAATGGAAACAAATGCCTTTTGATTTCAAGTAAGATTTGATACAATGAAAAGGTTATATATGAATAGATAAAAAATATACAAAACTCTACTTTTATGTAACTACAAGGATTTCTCTTTTCTTTTTCTTCTGCATATTATATGTATAGATATATGTGTGTGTATCTATGCTAATGCACTTCCACACGATCTTTATTTCAGCAAAGAAAAAAATTAACTTAAAGTAACAAATATTGTATATGTATATAGAGAGAATAAATAGAAGATAGAGGATAATATATTTATAGTAGACATGCCTACATGCAACATCGAACAGTAACGAGGAATTTCTGAAAGGGCACAATGATTATTAATCCAATACATTATCAATGAATTCAAATAATTAAATCATCTAATAGAGTGCCTTTTGTTTCAGTAGTGGTAAAGCCAATAAAACCTTTGTATATGAAGAGAGATGCAGCTCCTTTTGAAGTTGAAAAGAAATATTATATTCCCCTATTAAATAGAATTATCTTGTTTTTAAAAAAACTCAAAGGTTCTCTGAACGGGTCTGGACCATTCAGTGGCTCCTTCACTATGCTACATGATGAAATATTCCAATATTTGATAATAGTGCAGAAGAAGATGAACATGAATGATCTTTGGTCAACATATTTGAATTATCATTCAAAGAAAACTCAACAATATTATCTGAAAAATTTGCGCAGAAGATCCAATAATTGATGACATCTAAAGTTTTTTCGTTATTCAATGAAGTGTTTCTCGTTGTTCTAAAGTTGGTCGTTAACATTTTTTTCAAGTTTCACCTTCAATGTTTCATTTCTTCTGTCTCATGAGAAAACGTACCAAAATTAAATGCACACACACCAAAGAAGTAACACAAAACGAGACATGCGTCTTTATGCATGGCTGACGATGGCTGAACAAAAAACAGGTCAGAGAAAACAGAAATGAAGGAAAGAGAAGAAGAGAAAAAATACACATTCAGGCAATATGGCCTAATGTTTCCAACATAAGTCATAACACATATTAACATCAATTGAATTACTATTTAAAGAATCGCTAAATAACTCAGTATCACAACCATTCGTACTATGCAATGATGAATTCACAGGTGACGAAGACCGTGGATCATAATTACTATTTAATATCGATGTCATATTTGTAATACTTGGTAAAAAAATTGAATAAAAAAATGAAGGTAAATTTGGTACATATAACCATGGAAGATTTGTAAAACATTGAGTTATACGACAATTTAATGAACGAAGTTGAGACACCAAAAATATAATATCATAAAATTCAATGGGTAGTTCTCGATTGATATTCGATCGACGAGCTAAAACATCGATGATTCTCGAATAAGAAATAAAGAAGATAATTTTATTTACCTTGATAATATTCAGAAAATATTTCGATACATTCGCATTGACATTTAGACCATGATCTATTATTTTCATTAACAGAATTAAACTCTTATAAAATAAAACGGAAAATATATTTTTTTCTGTTTTTCTAGTAAAAAAATGTGTTCTTACTACTTCGAGTAATAATCATCAACAGAAGAAGAGAAAATTCTTTTTCATCTAAATGAAGATCTCTTAATTTTGATTCAAATGATCGAAATAAATCTTCGGCCTGTGTTAACTGTGGAACAAGGGCATTTAATTCGATTGATACTGTTGATTCAGCTTGCCAATAATTCCATGTTGATTGAATATTTTCATATGAATATTTCATCGATGCTTTTCCCGGTAGTAATGTAACCATAATAACGGAATTAATTGATGATGAAATAATATCGTATTTGTTTGACATATTGATGAAACCTATTAAAATAATTGTTAATTAAAAATAAATCGAAAAAGCAAAAAAGCTAAAAGATTAATCTGTTCACTTTCACTGTATGTGTCGTGAAAGGGAATAGATCATTTCAACGGACTTGAAAAAAAATACAAAAGGAGAACAACATCATCAACAAGACAAGACCAAAACAACATAATAACATATTAGATGATGATGTATGTTACCCGGTATTATACTGTGACAAAAATTCATCATAGCTTGAGCATAAATAATCATTTGCGATGCCATTGTCGACCAAACTGTTTCACGTGGAATGCATCGAGGCAAATCCTGTAGATAAATAAAGCAAAAATAAAACGATTCTATGAAAGATAATCGAATTATCTCTGCTTTTTTTAATAATAAATAAAGAATGATGCTGAAAAGAAAAAGTACCTTTAAATATATAAGATAAGCATTATAAACTTTTTCAATAAAATCTTTTATTGTTAGTGATAGTTGAATATCAATTTCATTGGTAGTTGCAAATACTACAAAAGAAAATAATTTGAAGCATTTCTCTTTGAAATTGTTTGTTTTTACTTTTTCCACTTTTATTTTTAGTTGTTCGTCTTTTAGCCATCGATCCAATATGAGCTGAATCTATTACAGTTGCCATCGATGTGGAATCATTTTGTAGTTGTCGAATACTATTGAATCAATCTTCAAAACTTATTTTCGTTTGTTTAAGTTTACCTTTCTTTAAAAAGATTTGATTGTCGACCAATACGAGAAGCTGAAATTATTTTACAATTCTTTCAATATAAATTGAAAAAGAACAAACATTTATATGACTGACCATTCATTGACATTCCAGCTTCAATACATTTTCGAAATCTACATGCTCTACAAGTTATTTTTGATGTTGAAATGATTTCACAATTATTATTTTCAACACAATAATATCGTTCAGGAGCATTTTCTTTTATTGATCGACGAAAAAATCCCTTTAGAATTTATTTTATGAAAAAAAACTTTTGTCTTCAAATATTTGCTATCTCTTACTTTACAAGCTTCACATGTAACAACACCAAAATGAATACCTGATGCTGATGCATTACAAATAAGACATGGTAGTTTTTTATATAAATCTTCTGCCTTTGATCCAATCGATTCTTGAACTACTTTTATAAAAACAAAAGCCAAACATAGAAAAAGAAAACTTACCATGAGCCTTCATTCCAACAGAAATACATTTTTGAAGTCTACAATATTGACATTGAGTTCGAGAACGTTTTGTTATGGAACAAGTTGAATTTCTTTGACATTTATATTTTTTCTTTCCATCACATGTTGAAATTGAACGTAGAAAAAATTTCTAAATTATTATTTTTATTGATTTTAGAAAACAAAAAAACATTTTATTTCAATTTATTTTTACTTTGCATGCTTCACATGTTATTGCTCTAAAAAGTAATAAACAATCGAAAATAAACGTCAAAGAAACCAATGTATTTAACTTACCCGCAATGCCAACCCGATGCTAAGTCTCCACAAATTTGACAAGATTCATCATTACTCAAATTATTTGATAGCATTTGTTCTCTACTATTATTATTATTATTATTTTCAATTATTTGTTGATAATGATTGAAGGCATAAAGACACCGAGAACAATGATCATTCAAACGAATTAATGGAGAATGTAAACACAATTGTTGATATTACTATTTGAAAAGATTCTAAAAAGAAAAGAATATTCAAATAGATTTCATAGGAGACAAGTGTTCGACTACAATATCATTAGTCCAGTTGTTTATCAAATATTCTAAAGCTTTGTACAAGTCTCAATTATTGTTATGCACAATATCTAGAAATTAAAATATAACTCGTGTTAGGAAAATTAATTTTAAGAAAGTAGATAGGAATTAGCTTAGAGAACGACGCAAATAGATGCTGCTATCGTTCAACCACGAGATAGTAAAATGACACATATTGTCATTCAAATGAGAGAGAAAGAATGAAAACAAATACATGTGTCTGTTGATAGCAATGTGTTTATTGTCATAAAAATATTCAAACGATAATAAGATCATTAAAGTATCATTTATCTCCCTCACTTCTTGCTTTTTCAACCAGATTGTTATGCATTGTAGATCTTTTGATATGATGAAAAATTGTTATTCGAAAGAGTTCAGTAATGAAGATATGCTTTTTCTCCCCTTTGGCTAGTTATTTTAGATTGGTTAAAAGAGATGAAACAGTTATATATCTTTATATTGACCTTGCATTTTTATGACACTTTTATGTTATGATTTAACGAATAACACGCACTTTTGGTATTGATCTGAGAGAAAAAAAATGTAGATCTTATCACGTTTATGTGAAGATAGCATCTGTCATACACTGAAATAAAAATATATTTCATAGTCTAAAATTTCTTCTACGTCAACAAATGACGTAGTGGACTCCTTTCTCAGTTGAAATCTTTTTTTTTCAAGGACAATGCTGTATATAACTGAAAATGTGTAATATGTCAAATTAAGGGACATCGAAACAAATTTGACATAGAACTGTGTGTTATGTTTATTGTATTGGTTTTTAGAAAACCGTAGAATGAATAATGTAGTTTCGTGAGAAATATTTTTAACAGTTATGCACAGAAATCACTAAAAAATTTAAAAAAAAAGGATTGAAGTTTGATACTTCTTCTTTTAACAGATACGTAATTGATATTAGTAATTGTGAGAAAAAGTTCAAAAAACGAATTAAAAGAAAAGTAAATAGAACCGATCAATTGAAAGCAGTGTTTGAACTAATATCAGGAATAGAAAAAATGCGACATTGTATTCATTATATACGGATTGAAATAAGCTGTATAAAGGGTGTCCCATAAGTTCATCGATTTGAAGCTAGCACGACGACCAATCAAAATCAATCTCACAACCAACAATCAACATCGGTCCATAGTTTACCACTGACAATCCATAAAATACCCACCCTACTTTACATAGCAACCGAATAAAAACAAAGATGAAACCAACATAACTCAAATTTCCATGCGAAATACTCATCACCAATCCAAAGAAAACCCGAACTACATGCATAATGTCGGCTTCTCATATTAAATCAAAATTTCTGAATTCTTTCTCCATTGCAACCAGACCATGAATCAACCATTCGATAGCGAATTTATTTCTCTACACGATGGGATATTCATCATACGAAGAATCAATTTCTGGACCGCGTTCAGAACAAAAAAAAAAATCTCACACTTTTTAGCGATCGTATTCCCAACTGCCATCACCTCCTGCGGATAAAGAATCCTTTGCAACGACTGACTTCATACGCCATCCGATAGAGGATTGAATTCTCTACAATATGGAATATTCATGATAGAGAGAATCGATTTCTAGAGGGGGCTTCCGAAGGAAAAAAGGATCACTGTAGCAATTTTTAGCCACGGTTCTCGCAAGTCTCATCGGCTACTGTGGCTAGAGTTTCCATTGCAACGGGACACTGGATACACCATCTGATAGAGAATTGAATTCTCTACAATATGCAATATTCATGATACAGAGAATCGATTTTAAAAGGGGGCTTCCGAAGGAAAAAAAAGATCACGGTGGCACTTTTTACCGAGGGTTTTCCCCAGTCTCATCGGCTACTGTGGCTAGAGTTTCCATTGCAACGGGAGACTCGATATACCATCCGATAGAGAATTCAATTCTCTACAAAATGGACACTTCATGATGGAGAGAATCGATTTCTAGAGGGGGCTTCCGAAGGAAAAAAAGATCACTGTAGCACTTTTTAGCCACAGTTCTCCCAAGTCTCATCGGCTACTGTGGCTACAGTTTCCATTGCAACGGGAGACTTGATATACCATCCGATAGAGAATTCAATTCTCTACCACATGGAATATTCATGATAGACAGAATCGATTTCTGAAGGGGGCTTCCGAAGTCAAAATGAGTCACTCTTGCACTTTTTAGCGAGGGTTCTCGCAAGTCTCATCGGCTACTGTGGCGAGAGTTTCCATTGCAACGGAACACTCGATGCACAATCTGATAGAGAATTGAATTCTCTACAATATGGAATATTCATGATACAGAGAATCGATTTTAAAAGGGGGCTTCCTAAGGAAAAAATAGATCACGGTGGCACTTTTTACCGAGGGTTTTCCCCAGTCTCATCGGCTACTGTGGCTACAGTTTCCATTGCAACGGGAGACTTGATATACCATCCAATACAGAATTCAATTCTCTACAAAATGGACCCTTCATGATAGAGAGGATCGATTTCTAGAGGGTGCTTCCGAAGGAAAAAAGGATCACTGTAGCACTTTTTAGCCACGGTTTTCCCAAGTCTCATCGGCTACTGTGGCTACAGTTTCCATTGCAACGGGAGACTTGATATACCATCCGATAGAGAATTCAATTCTCTACAATATGGAATATTCATGATAGAGAGAATCGATTTCTGAAGGTGGTTTACGATGGAAAAAAAGATCACTGTAGCAATTTTTACCGAGGGTTTTCGCAAGTCTCGCGGCTACTGTGGCAAGAGTTTCCATTGCAACGGGAGACTTGACATACCATCCGATAAAGAATTCAATTCTCTACAAAATGGACTATTCATGATAGACAGAACCGATTTCTAGAGGGCCTTCCGTAGTCAAAATTTGTCACTCACGCACTTTTTAGCGAGGGTCTTCGCAAGTCTCGTCGGCTACTGTGGCTAGAGTTTCCATCGCAACGGGAGAATGAATACGCAATTCGATAGAGAATTAAATTCTCTACAAGTTGGTGTATTCATCACAGAGAGAATCGATTTTGAGTGGTCTTGAAAAAGGAAAAAATGATCTGCATCACTCTTTTGGGGATGGTTTTTCGGATTGAGATCCGCTCCTATGGATTGACTTTCCATTGCAACGGGAGAATGAAGACACAATTAGATAGAGAATTAAATTCGCTACAAGATTGTGTATTCATCATAGCGAGAATGGATTGTCGGATGGGCTTAAGGAGGAAAAAAAGCTCTCCCTCAAAGTCTTTACGGAGGGTTTTCGAAACTCAGATCCGCTCCTGTGTATAGAGTTTCCATTGCAACGAGAGGATGAATATACCATTCGATAGAGAATTGAATTCTCTACAAGCTGGTGTATGCGTCACAGAGAGAATCGAGTTTGAGGGCGGCTTGAAAAAGGAAAAAATGATCTCCGTCAGTCTTTTCAGGGAGGGTTTCTGAGATTGAGATCCGCTCCTGTGGATTGAGTTTCCATTGCAACGGGAGAGTGAAAACACCTTTCGATAGAGGATTGAATTCTCTACAAGATGGTGTATTCATCACAGAGAGGATCGATTTTGAGTGGTCTTCAAGAAGGAAAAAATGATCTCCGTCACTCTTTTTCGGGGATGGGTTTTCGGATTGAGATCCTCTCTTGTGGATTGAGTTTCCATTGCAACGGGAGAATGAATATAACATTCGGTAGAGAATTTAATTCTCTGTCGAATGATGTATTCATTCTCTCTTGGCAATGGAAATTGAGTTCATCAGAATCGGTCTCAATATGTGAACTGATCATATGAGAGATGTGGGTTCGATCATTTTTTTCGACTCGGCGCCTGTACGAAATCGATTCTCTCTCTACTGAATACATCATCTTGTAGAGAATTGGATTCTGTGTCGATTGGTGTATAGCTTGTGTCAAGGTTTCATTTCTATCCCGGTGATATCCTCTCAATTGTGAGATTAGTCATAAAAAAATTAAAAAAAAATAATTCCTGAGGGTACCATCCATTGCCCGAGGATAAGCTATGCATCTTTTCGTAGAGAATTGAATTCTGGATCGGTCGATGCATAGCTTATATAAAGATTTCATTTGCGTCGGGGTGATATCCCTTGATTTATGACATGATTGATTAAAAATTCAAAAAAATTTAAAAAAAGCTTAATTGCTGAGGATACAATCCGTTGCCTGAAAATAAGCTATACATCATCTGGTAGAGAATTTAATTCTACATCGAATGATGTATAGCTCAAATCCAGATTCCATTTCCATCGGGATGATACCCTGTTAATTATGACATTTTTCATGAAAAAATTGAAAAAAATTTTGAAAAAAATTAATTTTTCAAGAAACGATACATTGGACGAAGATAAGCTGCACATCAGCTTGTAGAGAATTTAATTCTACATCGATTGATGTATAGCTACAATTATTTCGGAAGAATGTTTTTTATTTACTGGAAGGACGAATTTTTATCAGTTTGTGTTTCGTTTTATTTTATATTTGTTGCTATGTGCTGCCATTATGGTTGCGCTAACCCTCAAAGTGGTGTTTTTCGTTATTGTAATTGTTTTATTGGTTGATCTTGATATCCAATCAAATTTTTTTCTTCGTCGTGCTAACTCGTCGCGTCGTGCTAGCTTCACATCGATAAAAGAATGAACACGAATTATAACTGGTCGGTCCTGAATGTTGTAGAAAAATGAATGCCTTGATTATTCAAATACTATCCATCTGTTTTATATGCGACCTCGCTCAATAGAAAGATGAAACTTCATGGAGATAGGTCCACCATAATTGAGATTT